TCAGAAAGTATATAAGCTTTTGCTTATGAGAGAGAGAATACAAAAAGAGTAGCGTGGGCGCAAAGAACGAGGATAGAGATTTGGCTCATCAATGGCGGCAAGCTCACGTTCTGTGGCCAGAAGGATATGGGAAGAAGATGAATATATCCAACGGAAAAAATAATTTAATCTTTCTTGAATCTTTTGAATTTGGATAATAATTAATGTGAATCGTGATGGCAAAACGGAATGTATGGTTAAAATATTGGAAGGATAAATTATTAAATATTAATTAAGTGCATTTTTTATAAGATATTATAGAATTTGTAGGGTTGGTATTTTTTGTCCAAAAACCGAACACCGAACCGAACCGAACTGAACCATACCATGTGTAACGGTAATCGATTTTCGGTTACCGAATTGTTATCGGTTCGGTATCAGTTCCGAACCCATAAGGATTCGGTTTACCGAACCGAAACCGAAACCGAAACCGAACCGACAAAAATATATAAAAAAATTAAAATACTGCTTTTGAATAAGTATTATATTAGTTAAATAACATATTTGGTCTTAATTAATCTATCATTACATAAAAAGAATAACCTTTTTACAATTTTAGAAATGTTTTCCCGCCAAATACATTAAATGTATCCTATATATAGTAATTGTTGGACAATATTGATAAGGCAACAATATCGGCCGATTAATTGTGTTAGAATCTATTTTTCTGTTTTTTGGAATTGAAAATGGCGTTATAAAATCTTTATCTCTTATCTGTTACAAAATCTCATTGCATTTATAAAATCTCACAGCATAAATCTAGAGTTTATCTCTTATCTGTCTCACGTTAAAAAATCTCATCTCTTATCATTTAAAAAAATAAAATAAAATAAAAATCAATTCATAATTACTACTAGAAATTCATTATCTACTTTAAAAAACTAATTTTGTCTAATTACTAATATTTATCTACTTTAAAAAAACTAATTTTGTCTAATTACTAATATTTTTATAAATATTATAAGCTAACAATACATCCTCGATACCAACGTAAAAAGTATAATAATAATGGTGTGTAATCAGATTTTTTAGATGGAAGTAACGCCATAAATTCGGTATCATCTGGCATAATATCATTTTTAAATTATGCTTATAATATTTTAGATATTTTAAACAAATTGTTTAGTCATTTTTTTTACATATTCGTCTATATATACACACACACATATATATATATACATACACACATATACATAATTGATATTAAATTTAAATATTTGTAGACATGTTTTCTTTACAAAATAGTCTAGAAAAATCTTTTTTCCACAATGTTAAATTCAAATATTTTTAGATATGTTTTCCTTCTAAAATTGTTTAAAAAAGTTGTAGGTGACTTCACATCTTTCAAAAATAATATAGAAAATTTTGAATACGTTTACATATACTAATATAATATGTTAGGTGTTTTTAATATTAAACATATAAATTTTATATTCTCTTATACAAAATATCATATTCTCTTATACAAAATAGTTTTACATTGTTTGACCCCGAATCTTTAATTTATAATTATTAAGTATTGTTTATCCTCCTCTTTAATTTATAATTATTTTTTTTTCTTTCTCTTTTTAAATAGAATCAATAGTAATTTCCACTTCCGTCATTGAGTGACTTAAACTTGAGGTCTATTTATAATATTCTTAATTTAATATTGTTCCCGTGCATCGCACGGGGTACACACTAGTTATCAATCATAAGAAAAAGCTCAAAAAGGACAGAACTAGGGCTGGACCAGACCCGTTCAAATTTCAATCGCCTCATTCGTTCATCTCATAATATTGTTTCGTTCATCAATCTGCCGTTCATTAGTCGTTCACGGTTCACCACCTCACGGTCCTCACCTTCAATATTTTAATGTGCTGCTGATGTTCATTTAAGTTTCTGTTCATTAGTTCATTTGTTACTTAATCTGCTGCTGTTATGTCATGGGCATCATGGCTGCTACTAGTTCATTTGTTAATTCATTTGCTAGTTCATGGGCATTCAGGGACATCATATTCATGACTGCTGCTGTTAATTCATTAGTTCATTTGTTACTTAATCAATAAACAGCCTCGGTTACTTAATCTGTTGCTCTGTTTACTTAGAGCATCCACAATGCTTTGGGTCTCTTGATAAAAAATCACATGCCATGTAAGAAATAGACCTAGTCTATAAAAAAATGCTTCCCAATGCAATTAAAAGTGGACATGGTCTAGCTTATGTTGCAATAAAAAAAAGAGACTAAGTCCACACTTGGGTCTATTTTGGACCCAAGTACAAACCCAAACACTAATCATTTATTCCTACTTTAATTTTTCTTTTAATAAAAAAACATATTAGATCATTTTTATTGGTTGACATATATGTTAGACCTAGTATTTTTATTTTTGCATTGCAAAGTTATTGAAGTTTTTTACTTGGGTTTGTCAACATCATTTAAGACTCAAGTCCAATTATATGCCACATATACAAAAAGAGACCCAAAGTATTGTAGGTGCTCTTAGCATCATATTTTGCTGCTCATTTGTTCATTAGCATCATATTCTGTGCAAAATGCTATGAAGCCAATGGTTGGCTCCATAAAGGAGCCAACCATTGGCTCCATAGCATTTCTCCATATTATGTTGCTCTGTTTACTTCATCTGCTCTTCTGTTAATTAGTCTCGGTTTTTTCGATTTCTTATCGGTTTAAATTGAAACCGAATCATTTTATCAGTAACTGACTTTTCGGTTACCGAATGTTTATCGGTTCTGTTTCAGTTCGGTATCGATATTATGGTATCGGTTCGGTTACCGAACCGATACCAGCCCTAAGAATTTGCCTTCCACTAGATGACCACACACAAAAGAACACTTGTCAGCGTCGAAAATGTGTTTGTAACTTTGTATACTAGGTCCAAAATGCAAATCTAACCAATGTAAACATATTTAAATGTATTTGTGTTACATTCTCGGGATTCTTAACATTAAACTTTCATTCGTGGATAAAAATATTAATCAATGCTTATGATAGGAGGATTTAAAAAAAAAATACTTAGAAATACTTCTCAAATGAACTTTTAAATTAAAATTTTAATTTAAAAATAATTTATGTTTGGGTAATTAACTTTTGAATTTAAAAAAAAAAATCATTTTTACAAAAGTAATAGTACTTGTATAAAAGTGCTAGAAACAAACACGAATTATTAAACAGTAAAAAACATAGGAGTAGTAAAAAGAGTGAGTAATTTTGTATGCAAGAATCAATGAATAGACAAATTAATTATCTTACTTTATATTTCCCTCGTGCCTCTCAAAAGGGAGATATCTCTCACTCATGATTGGTGTCCTTTCGATGGCACGAGCATGCACCTGTCTCTCTCAAATCGACTTTATATCTGGAATTTCTCTCTGGAACGACTTCTCTGAAATGGACCTTCTCTATGGAATTCTCTCTATGCAATTTGTTGTTCTGGAAAAAACTCATGGAAAAATATGAAGATTAGAATTTTGATCCTCAATTAACAATTCATCTTCCCATTTATTTTTCCTCCATTAATTTTGATTACGTAGTTTTTTTATTTTTTATTTTTTTGGTTCATTTTTTTTTAATTGTTTTCTTTGCCACGTTCGCCTTTTGACATGTCAAGTCCGAGGAACCGGGCATGAGGGCGTCACGTGTGGGCCACGTGATAAATCTGGCCACAATTTTGAATGTTGGGTTCCGAACAAATTGAAATTGCATCGACTTTTGAAATTACACGATTAAATAGAAAAATACTCCGATATCAGGACTAAAATTGCACCCGACCAAAGGAGCAATAAAAAAATGCAATTTTTCTTAAATAAAATAACCAACCGGCCAAGTCTGCTCAAGTGCTCAGGGTCGGGCCGGGTCAAGCCAGTGGCAGCACCATCATACCGTGGATGGCTCTAACTGCCCTATTCAGCCGTCGGTTCCCCGCCTTCATGTTGCCGCCACAGTATCTACTCTTCGTCCACCGATTCCGGTCAGACGCCGCTCTGGAAGCTATACGCAGGGCGTCGGAAAACAAAACTCCGAACCTTGTCTTATACAACTATCCCTCGTTTTCCGGCGCGTACGGTGCACTGTTTGCACACCTCTACCACACTCGACTAAACCTACCTTGCTTGATTCTACCGTTCTCAGCCGTTGCACCTTTCAGGTACTGTGCGTGTGTGGGCGCTGATTCATTTTGTCGTGACTAATTTGGTTATGCTCGTTCATTTTGTTGAGAGCTGAAGGGAAAAATGTATGTCAGTGGCTCGATATGGAAGTGAACGATTGAAGTCTCGAGCTGTGTATCTTGTGTTGTACTATGTACAGCGTGTTCGCAGAATCGAAGAAAATTGAGAAAATTCTAGCTTGATGAAAATTAGTGGTATTTTAGTATCTGCGTATTTTCAAATGCGTGGAGTATGTTTATACATCATTATCAGATATTAAGGTGCAGGAGAAGTGTCTTGGACTTTTATCTGCTTTCAGTTTTTGTTTCTTATGCAAATAAAGTACTTGATCCATACATTATGCTTGATTTGTGCACAAGTTGCAGTTCAATCCATTTATCAACATCTTGAATCTTGAATATTATGTAAATATAAAAAAAAAAAAAAAAAAAAAAGGTTTTCTGTGATGTCCTCTGGGCCATTGCATGTGAGACGGAAAGTGGGTGGTTCTTAGTATTACCCCAATTTATTCATGAAGTCAGCTAAAACATTTCAATGTTAAACAGCTTACTGCAGTATTCTATTTTCCTTCATTGGTGGAAATAGTTTATAGGTTGTGGATTCTTGTGTTTTGTCTTTTCTCCGTTTTCAATCGACAACCAAAAACTTCGTTACTTTTTTTTGCCCTCCCAATAGCCATGCTTGTTATTCTGGTAATGACCTTCTTGCTTCTTTAGGGTTGATGACTTATGCATTGAAGGAATGAAGACATGCTACTTTCTCGATCTTATAGGCCCAGAAGATTTTGCATTGGAACTATCCGGGCGAACATCGTCCAAGTTGGTGCATTTTGACATTTCACAAATGAATCGTTATAGTATATTTTGCTTCATATTATGTAGCTTTCGGCAGCTAATTGAGTATTTCTTCAAGTAGGGTTATTGTCTTCGATCATCGGAAATCCGTGCTTCCTCGAATTTCTGTAAGGGAAGATTCTGATACAAACATCACATTATATGTGAATATTGAGAGGAGTAGCTCGACTGCTGCATATAAATACTTCTCTGCTAAACTTTTAGAGAAAAGAGAAGATAGTGTAAGTGAGTGTGATGTACAATATATCTTAACCTTTTCTTTTCTTGTTTATTTTCTCTTATTTTCTAGGCTGTAATTGATTCCACCTTTCTGCACAGCATTTAAGTAAATTTTTCTTAATTACCAAGTGTTTAAGTAAATTTAAGTGTTTTTCTTTAGTAATTATGCTATGTCCATTAGGACAAACGAATGAGACTACTAAGCCTTGAGGACTGTGAGCGGGTGGACGCAATGCTCCAGTATATTGAAGATGGAGATCTTCGCCGGTGGAGTTTACCTAATATTAAAGAATTTAATATTGGGCTAAGAGAGTGGCACTCAAAATTGAATTGCATCACTAACTCATCCATGTATCAACAGGTACAAATTGAATCTTTATTTTAAATTTAAGGGGACGCACTTGTCGATATTTTCTCTTCCTATTTTAGTTATTTGTAAAAAGTAGTGATTAGTAAAATGTTATCACGACAGTAGAAAAAAGGATAGCCCAGTATTCAAGTATATAGACTATGCTAATTGGACAGTAGTCACAGTATGTTAATAGGAGATAAAGTGACAACTTATGTTACTTTCATTTGAGAAAAGGCCAAAGCGGGTAGCTCCAGTCACTATGTCCTTTTGGTTCTCTTGGCTTCTGTCATTTTGACTGTCTGAACTAAGGTTCCTTCCCTTTTTGTCCCTTAACCTGTTTGTATGAACAGTTGATGGGGATCTGCGCTGCAGACTTGATCACGAGGGGAAGGACCCATCTTGATCGGAGGCTTACTGATGCAAAGAAATTGATGACTAAGATTTTCCGAGTTCAGTTAGGACGAGGATTTTATGGGGAGTGTCTGGTATAAGCCTTTTTGTTCCTTAACATTTTCAGTGAGCTTTAGATAGTTATATGAAATGTTCTATTCAGAACTGATATATTTTATGCTGAAGTTAATGTTGAACTAATGATCTGGTACATCCTAAACATTTTTCTGGGTGCGTATCAGGGCTGGATATGGTTGCAGAAGTGACTCACTCTTTACCTTGTTGGCATTTTATTTGGTTGTTGTGTAGGGAGTTCGAGTTGATGGGGGCTCAGACTTCAGTGATGAAATTGGGAAGGAACTCAGCCGAATGAGTGCAGAAGCAGGGCTAAGGTGATTTACTTTTCACTGTTTTCTTTTTATTAATTGATTTCTATTTCTTTTAGTAATAATTTGTAAGGTTGAATTCTGCTTTGTCTGTGTGTGTGTTCGTATTTAGTGTTTTAAGCTGGTTGGTTAAACCTCAAATGGCCTCGCTTTTTTTTTGGGTGGCAATTTCATTAGTAAACATTTACTTGGAAAAGCCTCCGCTGTTGGTTCTGGTTGTACAACAGAGTTAGTTCAGCCTCACCTGCATCAAGTCCCATCATAATAAGTACTTTGCTCAGACTTGAGTTTGCTGTTGCAAGCAGATAAGAATTTTCTGTAGGCACACACACACTGGTATACATACTTGGAAATTGTCTCGATACAGTTCTTATGTGGTGATAATCAATACATAGGGAATCTAGTGAGGCATGAGGGAATGATGGATCTTCACAGTCAAGATGGATACCAACTTCTAGTGTCCTTTGTTTCTCATCCGTATAAACCTCTATTCTACAAGTTTTGCAGCTGTTGCAGTAGGAAAGTGTCTGGAAAAGTTGTAAGATGTGGATTTTACGTTATTGATGTTTTGTGACTTTGTCTGTAATGTATGCTGTTGATAAGTTTTTTTTTATCTATTCAAGTTACGATGCTTAGCTCATGGGGTTTTAGTGCATAACTGCATATAGTGGCATCTCTGCAAGAGCATGGATGGACACTTTCAGTTGGAGCGGTGGTCTTTATCTGAGGCCCTTGCTTTAACTAGCTCAAGTTGTTAATTACTTTGTTGTCTTGATATATTTGAACTGAGGCTATTATTTGGCACTAGCTCACTGCCTTTCTTAAATTACCTACTGATGAAATAGGCCAATTGGAGCTGTTGTGTACATGCAGCGTAACAATCTGAAAATGTGCCTGAGGACCATAGACAGTGGCACTGATACATCTGAAATTGCAAAGGTGTGGAATATGTTAACGAACCCTGCTTGTCGACTCTCCTTGCTTTACTGTTAAAGATTTGTAGCAGAAGAATGTTCTCAGAAAGTGGTTCATGTCTATTTTCGTATATCTGAACCTTGCAGGCGTATGGTGGTGGAGGGTCTCCAAGCTCCAGCTCCTTTATTATTCGTATGGATGAGTACAATCAGTGGCTTTCAGTTCAGTCTTCACCGACTCGGTAATTCTCAAGTGGTACTTATCATTGTTATCCATCTGCAAAGTGTCTCCCTTGTTTTTCATTCGCTAGTAGTTAGTGTCAGGGCTTCAGAGAAAAATAAGGAGTGATGCAATTGCTTTTAGAAAGAAAACTTTCCAATATTTAAAGTTGCGAACTGGTAATTGAATGCCTTGTGTTGAAATATGATGAGTACCATTTTAATGTGACATTGTTTTAGTTTAGTGCTCTCTATTATGTTCATAGGTAGTCAAGTGGTGAAGGTTGTATGAGCATTTGAAATCTGCTATCTTTGCTCATCGTAGTGTTTAGATTTCTTGTCCAACAGAATATTTTGTTCAATTGCATTGAGAATTTGAGACTTGAGAGTCACTTGACCGCAGCAACCTGCGATAATATTGTAAACACATCAGAGTCGTTTGTCAATGGCACATTTGCAGTGGAGATAGTTGATTGATCTTCCCCAACAACCTGGCAACCTACTATAATATCTTGCACACATCAGTCGTGACATGTTTGTATTGGAGATAACTGATTGATCTTTGTTACACAAGTACACATTTTTCTTATAGTGTATTGTTTTCGCAATTGGCAGATTTCACCAATCTGTGGTTACGATGGTGTTGTGTGTCAATATGGAATTTGTTTCAGTTGGAATATTAACAAATGAATTATAGGGTTAAATTTTTTGTTGCTTTTCATGATTGCGGATAATATGCAGCTAAAAATTGTGGAAATGATAACCGCAAATGAGGAGTGGTGGCAGAATTTGATGCTTTTCCTTGGATCGTGTCTGACGTTTTAGTTCACTCCATACAGTCTCTTGGTTTCGTGCTTTCCGGTGGACAATGACACTTCTAATAAGTTTCTTTTTAAACTAGAATAGCATTAAGCTTTTGAGTTTGGTACCAGGATCTGGTAACACGACCAGGCCCGATAACAAGAAAATGGGATCTGTATTCGGCGTTAATATTTCCATATATTATACTGGAAAAGATTACTGGTACAGTATTTGAGGGACATGTTCAGCCTTAAGTATCTTTCGACTGATAAGTTCCATCATTGGATTGTTTTCGTAATTCTTGAGAATACATACAGAAAGAAAAAGAAGCCATCGTTAACAAGGTGTGAGGAAAACGCTAAGTACAATTACATTAGTGCACCGGACAGCCTTCAACTTGTATCCCTTTGGCAGTCGGACAAGTTGCCAAGTCGCAGTGTTCACCACTCGTACCCCACCAATCTATTCCTTTTCCTTCCATGCTAAGAGAGAAATAGAGCACCACTGCCATGAAAGCTACTCCGGCATCTAAAGCTGCCGACAGAATGTAGTTGTACCTCTGCCACCAGCTCTTCCGATAACGGAAAACAAAAAAGTTGAAAATTGTCCCGACTATTATCCAGGCATTGTAATTCAATGGTGTTGCTGGTGGCATCATACCAGTTGCCCCTAGAAGTACGGGCAGGTTAATTAGTGGAAGCCAAGATTGTTTTGGAAATGCCTTGTAGAGAACCCAAACCAGGATCGGCCCTAATGCACCGCCAAGAAAGAACCAGTTCATTGAACTGTAATTTCCTTGACTTCCGAAAATTCTTCTGGGTCCGACTAAACCCCATATGACTGATGCATCGAAGAAGACTCTATCTCCTGGGCATGTCCATGGGCTGTCTGGTGGAAGGAGTTCGTCTTGGCATATGTTGGTGATAGTTGTAAGCTGCCACCACGCCACACCAATGTTGACTGTTCCGGCGATGATTGTGCCTAAGAACTATAGAGCAGTTGGAAGCATGGTTAGATGATAAGGATAAGTGCACAAGGTTGTAAAAACGTTATGACCCAGAATAACTTTCAAGGAGTGAATTCTGCCCTATTGTTGTACTCCAAACATCTACGTAAAGTGGTGAGTGGTTTGTTTAAGTATTAGAAGAAATATTTTTTTCATTTTCTCTCTGGAGTTGTATGCACGACCTATGTTGACATAACGTATGTGTTTTTTATGGAAAAGGTGGCAAGAAAGTACGATCGGGCAATCCAGTGATTGGTGATGTATTGTTGTCATCTTACCTATAGATTCTTATAAGCATGTAACAGAGGGGCTAACAACTTTATAGAATATATTGGGAAAAAATTAGTATTAATACTAGTCTAACCTTGTGAAAAATGTGTTGACCCAGAGAAGATGTCTATACTTGTTAAAATTATTCCTCCCCCTTTCCTATCCCTTCGTCCCTTTTCCCTTTGGTCAAAATAGAGATTTTATAGTCTTGTCATTTATTCTCTAAGAAGACATTATTTTCTTTCTTCATACAGATGGGATGCAGTTAAACATGAATTGTTATATTTGTTGATTAATTTCTTAAAGCTTCACAGGTGAAAACACAGGACAGAAAAGGATAGCTGATAAGGTTACATTAAAAAGCAAGTACATGCATGTAACTTTACTCCCCAAAATTGAGTACCTGCCTACCATCAATTTATATGAGTAACCTGGACGTGTTTATTTGCTTTTCTTGAAATGTGATCTTTTCAGTTATTAGATACTTTGGTAACATTGTCTAGAGTTTGGAATTATTTTAGACCTAACTTCATCCTTAGATTTGTTGTAATAAATGGGGACCAGAACTTTATACATTATTGAAGAGTCTGAACACCCATCATATACGACATACGCAACTATATTGGAATAATGTTGTTTACCTGAACTATAAACATCGATCTGGGAGGAATCTTCATGTAGTGACCTAGTTTGAAATCACTGAGAAATGAGACAGCCTGGGCCATGCTCATGTAGCCATAGGTTTTGAAGCAGACGTTAGCAATTGGCCTTCCCGGGTATATGATACCCATAACATACTCTGTGATTATGTTTAAGCCCGGTGTCTGCAAATAAAACATGGTCAGTTTTGCATTTACTTCAATCTGGGAATTTTTTTTTTTTTTTTTTTTTTTTTTTTNNNTTTTTTTTTTTTTTTTTTTGTTTTTTTTGCCTTTTATGTGTCTATGCTAGCAGACAGACTAGACTGTCTTAACAAATAACAAGTCCCTATTTGGATCCATATGTTGTTGCTATTCCCTTCTTAATTTTCAGATTTATATCTATCTGAATAATATTTTTAACTGGGTTCCGTGCTGATTTGACAGCTGTTTTTTTTGCTTGTACAGTCACTCAGGTCATCGTCAGTGATATTGGCTATCTTTTATCTGCAACAATATAAACAACAAATGTGTACGAATATGTTGGCTTCAATTTACCTGGTTTGTTGTGGCTGTAATGATGCTGATTGGGAGTGTGAAAATAAAGGCAATGAGGCTGGCAAATACGAGTCCCCACCATGGCATCTGAACCTGGTCGTTTAAGAAGATGCAGAGTATTAAAGAAGCTGCAAGTGTCACTACCAGTAATATCTGAAACCACCATGACGGTATGTCCTTGTATCTGCGCATAAGCCTTGTGTGGATATCTTCTTTTCCCTTGTATGAAGCACGGAATCTCGAGTAGATTTCTCTGTGGTTATACAAGATTTGCTAGCTGTTTAGTGTTTAATCAATCTTGGATGAGGAAGAAAAACTCATAGAGTGCTTTTTAATATACGAAGGACGATTACATGCTTCGCCTCAATTTAGGTTGCTGATAGGGAGTGGAGGAAAAAAATTCTGGGAAAAAATTTCAGTTTATGAAAACTTAAACCAGATTATTTTCATATATGCTTTAAAATTTACCAATCACGACCTTTTTTAATCCTTCGCTTGATTATTTGTACATAAGTTCTTTACTTGACTAGCGTTGTAATCTCAAATTTTTATACTAGCTGTCCTACTTCAACTATCAGTTTAATTTCGAAATTTTAAAACAAACTAGTATAGTATTAGTACCTCCCATAGAAACATCCTACATGCGTCATAGTGGATGCAATAGTTGCAAAGCCGAACCCATATGTCAAAGCAAAGAACATGCTGAGATGTATTCTGCCCTGCTCATTGTATCTCTCCATATCCAGCTCGAATTTGTCATTCACAATCGCAGATATATTATATTTCTGACCTTGAGCTGTGAACAAGTGTGAGGAGAAAATCGGGAATTTGCTTGCACCGTATAAGTCGAATCCCCAGTAGGCTATAGGGAGCACTATGTAGATTATCAGTGCATAACCCGCTAAGACATTCATAATGGCAAAGAAGGGACATACGAGTGGGCTGAACAAGAAAGATGCTACAACTGTCCAATCTAATGTTAAGGCCCCAAGGCCCAGACCTCTTAGGCCCGACCCAATCTGTTGGGCCGTGACTGACTTTGAGAATGTCCAACATAGCCATGAGATGCTACTGAGAGTGGGGAATAGATAACCCGGCACTACGTACCAAGAAAAGCTGCAGATTAGTGCAATCAGGAAAAACTTAGCCCTCGACATGCGTCTGTCATCTTTTTCGTGCAAGGCCCTGCATAGTTTAGAGATGAGGATTATTCAGTAAATATTTTTTAGATTGTGTCAGTTTGGAAATAGTATGCCAAATGTGTAGCTCATTTTATCACCTTAACTAGAATAAAATATATTTGCATTTTGAATCGACATTGCAGCTGAATTGGAGAAAATGCGATTTTGTCTGGTCTTGCAAAGTGGATTGGCTTTAAAATTAGTTAGTCTACCAGAAAGACGAATGTGCATAGAACATTGTCACATTTTATCTCTTTTGCCTTGCTTTTATTCTTCCTTTTCACTTTCAAGTTCCTTTTCACGTTGCATCCATGTTTGATATGGGATGAATTTGGAAGTACCTCACATGCTTTATGTATTATACGCTAAAGTAGAAAATAGATATCAAAATACCGTAATCCTTGAGTTTGACCCTAGTACCATTAGACCCAATTCTTTGAAAATTACAACAAAAGAAACCCTTTTACGGTTCCACTCAGACTCAGGGTTGTACTTAAGGAGCTAACTGTATTAAATTTATGCATGTGAAGGGGGCTTTGACATGTTTTTGCTCGTCCAAGGGATTATTTCCGTGATATTGAGGATCGACTGGTTTTTCTGTAACTAGGGCAAACCTCAAGAGATTTGTAGTTTGTTAATTAGTTATATCATCCACATTTGTGTTCGAATTTGTTTTAAAATTTGTGGTCCTTGTCATTTTATCTACTCTTTCATATTCCAGTTTGCACCAGTTTGTTCATATGACTGCTATTATGGAAAAGCCAAGGCTCTGCAGCAAAATTAGAGATAAACCCTTGATGTTCGGGAAAATTTCATCCTACCTCGTGAGTAGTGCCTCCACAGGGACTTTAAGTGTCTGATCAACACACAACCGAACAGGTGCGTGAGTGTGATTTGAAGCTAAAACTGTTGTTGGGGCACTACCCACGGGAGTAGATTCAAATTTACCGATATTTGGGGATTGCACCATTTGAAAAGGGGAGCTTGATAAACAGAAACACCAACTCTACTTGCCTTATTGGATATAAAATATTTTAGATTTGATTGAATTTATTTCAAAAAAGTTGATTGAGTTTGATTAAAGTTAAATTTTGAGTTTATATTTAAGTAATATTTAAAAATTAAAGTCGATATGATGTAAAAGTATGAGATATGTGATGGAAAGTGATGAGTATTTAAAAATATGTGAGCGAATAAATAGTGTGTTAAATTTGATGTGATGTGTGAATATTATTGATTGGTATCATTTAATTATATTGATAATATTGAGTAAAGTTTGGATTGAGATATGTATGAGTTGAGTTTTAAGTCAGATAGACAGTTTTGCTATGAAGCCAACAGTTGGTTCCATAGTGAAGTCAACTTAATCCGAGAATATGGTATGGTTTACTTGTTGTATATAGAAAGTTAACTCCACTATGGAGCCAACTGTTGGTTTCATAGCAAAATTGGTCAATAGATATTTTGTATCCAATCATGCCTACGACGTGGTTTGTAATATTAGAATGAATTAGAGCATCTGCATCGGGAGCATTTATTTGTCCCGTTTAAATGGCCACTTTTTTTCTATTATAATAAAATAACAAAGAAGTCGGCTTCTTCCTTGTTAACGAGCGATTTACTCCCGTTGGGAGTAGGAGAGAGATTGTTAATGGTACTTCCTTCAAGCCATACGTCGGTTCATTCCTTCTCAGTAAATCCATTTTGAGAAGGCAAAAGAACTTTCGATTAAGATGGATGCAGCCATCCTTTAATAGGTGGGCCCCTCCTTTGCCAGTTGAGCGCTCTTCTTTTTCTTTCTTTTTTTTTTAATAAAAAAGCTAATTGTTTATTCATATTATTTTTTGTTTTTATATTAATTCATTTTTTATCTATATCATATTTTCCATTATTATTAAATTCAAATTTTATTTATATCACTTTCCAATATGTATTAATAATTTAAGTTATTTTGGTCTTGTAGTGTTGTTTTATTTTTATGAATTTTAAAATTTATTAATATAATTTAAAAATATTAAATATTATTTTTATTAAGAATATTGAATGTATAGATAATGTGTTCATATATATGTACTTAAATGAATGGATATGAATGTGAGTGAATGTTTAAATAGAAAAAATATTTAGTGAAATGATGATGTAGACATGTGGTGGATGAGAGAGAACGTAAATTGTGATTGAATGAATGAAGTGGGATGTGAATGTCTTATTTGTAAATTCAGAAGATGTCTAGAACTTTTGACTAATTGCTCTGAGGTGAATTTTGTGATTTAGAAAGGATGAACTGTCAAGTGAATGCCTCGAGGGCTATTGAGTGGGTAACCGATCCATGAATGTAGCCGTAATATGAGAATTGTTTATGCATTAGGCTTGACTTGAATGTGTAGTTGAAACTGTGTTTAGTTGTTGCAAGTTGCAAAAGCTTTGCACGTGAAGCCTATGAAATATGGGCATCTCCAGCCTGTTCAATGTGAATGCAAAATGTGTTGTTTATGATGATTTTTTTATTTTTTATTTTTTCTTGGAAGGCATATAGTTGCAAAAATTACCCAGGTGATTCATAAATTTACGGTCCATAAAACATGCAAAAAGGCAAATTGTAATCTTACCTTTGAGATATAAATATTGCTACTTTTGCTAGATGTGGGTTTTTACCTAGGAGCTGAAATGTAATTTGACAGGGTATATTGTCCTAGATGGATAAAGCTATTAATTTTAAACAGTTTTGCTATAAAGTCAATTTTCTATATACAACAAGTAAACTTATCATATTCTTTGATTATTTAAATAACACTAATATAATTTTATTAATATGGTAGGTTTATTTGTTGTATATAGAATATTAGCTCCATTATGGAGCCAACTGTTGGTTTCATAGCAAAATCGTAATTTTAAAGTTGATGTGATGTGTAAAATAATAAAATTGTAATACTTGTTATTATATCAAAGAAAAGATTATATAATCCTTTATGTCACTGTGATCCAAGTGGAATTCAAAGTATAGTTATATACAGTGCGAATTGCAAATATTTTCAGAACCAAAACACATAAAGTAATAAATAATTTATGGAGGGAAAGTTACAGACCTGAAGAGGGAAACTTGAACCAGGGTGCCAGGCCACCACATATGGGCCGGTTCGATCACATACTTTCTCAAGAGCCCGGCCCAGCCATATCCCAATACCTGCAAATTGCCCGAATAAGACAATCGACTTGAGCTATATTCAAACAAATAATGATCAAATTGAGATTCGAGCCATCCAAAAAGGACAATATAAAAAGTAACCCAAGTTGGTGAAAAATACATGATTGGATGAGGGTTGATTAGCAAGGACAAAAAAATATTTAGTAAACTGAAGAAGATTCGACCTAACATTATTGCTCAAAATCACAATTGGTCTGAACCGTCGGATTATATGAATGCATACACATCTCTATGTAGGTGTGTGTTGATTTCACGATCAGACTTCCACTCATATGCTTTTCAATTGATTCATTTATTTGTTCATTTGATAATATATATACAAAATAACAAAACCATTTGAAACCCTTCAAAATTCACGTTTCTACTAAAACCCAATATTATCTTTGCTGCTTCAGTATTATTAAGATAAACCGAACAGTGTTACATGCTCAATTCATACTTTTATAATGTATTATTAATGTTCAATCAACACTAGAACCTAAAATAAATTCTGACATTAGACACGGACAAAAACATCTTCCATTTAATTACTTTTTTTTTTTATCACAGAAAAATATGCATGACCTTTGAATCCCATGTACCTACTTGTAGGTGTAAGTGCGTGAGAGAGAGAAAAGAGAAAGAGACTCAAAACCTGAGTTGTGATAATAAGCAACCAACCAGCCAAGAAAGAAATATTCCTTCCATAAAACGCCTTCACGATAGTCACAATCCCCACCGCATAAGCCGACCCGTTACCAAACGCACTACCCGCATTAGCAAAAATCGATATCAGCACGTGCTCCTTCATGTTAAACGGGCCCGGGTTTAATGAGAACCTTCTCGACCCGAACCCGGGGACCCGAAACCCACGACCCGGCAAGATCGCGGCCAGGAAATGGCCGATGGGTAGGGTTGCCACCTGGACGGTGATCTGGGTCACGACAAGTGGCTCGGTTCGGTAGGCGAAGAATTGGTTGATGAAAGAGAGGAGCCCACAAGAGAGGAGGCCCAAGAACCACATACGGAAGGTCCATACGGGTAGGGTCGGGTCGTCACTGTTGGTTACGGTTAGACGGACTTCTTCTATGGGGGACACGTCATCGCTGTCTTCTTCTTTTGCTTCTTCTTGCTTTGGAGTGTTTGGATATGGAGTTTCTACTTGAAGAGTGCCCATGAGCAAGATTCTATTGGGAGATTTACAAGTTT